GCTGTTGCTGCTGCAGCTGTTGCTGCTGCAGCTGTTGCTGCTGCAGCTGTTGCTGCTGCAGCTGTTGCTGATGCACCTGTTGCTGCTGCACCTGTTGCTGCTGCTTCTCCTGTTGATGCTGCTGCTCCTGTTGCTCCTGCTGCTGCCGTTGCAGCGGTTGCTGTATCTGACATATAGCAGCGCAGGCTGCAGCAGAAATTCGCCAGGGAGCAGCAGCAGCAGCAGCAGCAACAGCAGCAGCAGCATCTGTTGATTTTGTTACTAAGTTGCGTGACCCTAGCTGCTGCGTGTGTCGCTGCTGCTGTTGCTATTGCTGCTGTTACTCCTGCCCTTGCTGCTCCCGATGCTGCTGCTTCTACATGTGCTGCTGCTGCTGCTGCTGCAGCGATGCTGCTGTACGCGGAGATTCTTCTTTGTTTAGCACACCCTGGTGGTGGTGTAGGTGCAGCAGGAAAGGAAGCTGCTGCTGCTGCTGTTAAGGAAATGCTGCAGCAGAAAGGCATTCGATCTGTTTGCTGCTGCTGCAACAGCAGCAGCAACCCAACAGCAACAACTGCAGCAGAGGCTCAGCAGCAGCCTTCTGAAGTAGGCAGCAGCAGCAGCAGCAGCAGTAGCAGCAGCAGTAGCAGCAGCAGAAAGGATAAGGAAGACGATGGGGAACATAGTGACACCGTTGAAAGGCCTTCTTCCAGCAGCAGCAGCAGCAACAGCAGCAGCAGCAGCAGCAGCAGCAGCAGCACAATAAGGGAGCAATGCTTACACCTGGATAGTTTGCGTCTCTTTGCTGAGGCTTTGCTGCGGCTAAAATATTATGACCGTTTGCTGCAGCAGCTGCTGCATGCATATGAATCATGGACTAACAAGGATCCGCTGCTGCTGCTGCTTGCTGCCACAGCACATGTAAGCAGCAGCGAGGGTTTATCTAAGGGTTGTTCTCTATTGAAGAATTCATACAAAGTTTGGTCTTCGTCCCCTCTTGCTCATGATATACAGGTCTGCTGCTGCTGCTGCTGGTGCTGCTGCTGCCCGTGCTGCTGCTGGTGCTGCTGCTGCTCATTTTGCGGTTCTAGTTGCTTCTGCACCTGTATTTGTTGCTGCTGTTGCTGCTTATATTTGTCGTCTGCATTGCTGCCCTCCCTGCTGCTGCTGCAGCGCTTATGTTTCCATTGCTGCTCCTGCTGCATCTCCTGCTGCTGCATTTGCTGCTGCTGCTGCTGCTGCTGCTGCAGGTTACATTAGGCACAGCATTGGACCGCCTAGGTTGCGCTGAGGGTTTGCAGGAGATGCAGGCGGCATTCCTATCAAACCCTCTTAGACCTAAAGCAAGCTTCAAACCCTAAACCCTAAACCCTAAACCCTAGAACACTGTCGGCTGTTGATAGATTCTTGCAGCAGCAGCAGCAATATTAGCAGCAGTAGTAGTAGTAGCAGCAGCAGTAGAAGTAGCAGCAGCAGCAGTAGTAGTAGCAGCAGCAGCGTTGCATTGAAATATTTGCTGGGGTTGCTGGGTTCTATGACATTAGGGTTTAGGGTTTAGGGTTTAGGGTTTAGGGTTTAGGGTTTAGGGTTTTGTGCAGCTATTATTTATGTTATTTGGCTCTGGGGTTTTGACGTATAAAAAAGAAGCAAAAATTCTTGCTGCTGCTGATTTTAGCTGCTGCACTTGGGTACTGTAAGTCTATTCAGCAGCAGCAGCTGCTGCTGCTGCAGCAGCAGCAGCAGCGGTACCACTCCATGTTGCTGTTGCTCGTCTTCTGCTGCTGCTGCTGCTGCTGCTGCAGGTTTGCTGCTTACTGTGTGTCTTTGTCTACAGACACCTCGCGGTTGCTTTGTCTTCTGCTGCTGCTCGCATGGTCGGTTCAACAGGCATCCCTCTTGCTGCTGCTGCTGCAGCAGCAACTTTAGCAGCAGCAGCAGTAGCAGTAGAAGCAACAACGGCATGGTAGCAACAGCAGCAGCAGCACCAGGAGTCGCAAGAGCAGCAGCAGCAGCAGCGGCAAACTATATGAGGGTACTGGGAAATGGAGTGTGCTGCTGTGCATGCTGCTGTGGTTGCTGCTGCTGCTGCCTTGTTCGTGCTGCTGCTGCTGCTGCTGCAGACTCCTTCGGAGTTTTTGGCCCTCGTGCGTGAGGAAAGAAAACAGCGGCAGCAGCAGAAGCAACAGCAGCAGCAGCAGCAGCAGGACGTGAGTATGACCGAGATGCAGCAAGAGGAAGACAAGGGTTTGCAGCTGATCATAGAGTGTCAGCAGCAAGCACAGCAGCAGCAACAGCAGCAGAAGGAGCAGCAGCGGCAACAGCAGCAGCTGCTGCAGCAGCAGCAGCAAATACTCCCTAGCCCTGCTCTTGCTGCTGTTGCTTCCCGCTACCCCACAAGTTTGCTTCCTCCTCTATGCAGATTATCCCAGTAACCCTAAACCCTAAACCCTAAACCCTAAACCCCCAATTCGGTAGGACGTTAACAGAGCATGCAGGCACTCTCTCTTGAACTTGTTGCTGCTGCATTCAACTGCTGCTGCTGTTTCTGTTGCTGCTGCTGTTGCTGCTGCTGCTGCAGCGTAAACTTAAGCATCCAAGCATTCGCGTTGCATGCAGAGAGGAATATTCCTCTTGCCTTTGAGGTCTCCCGATTGTAAGACTTCTAGGGTTTAGGGTTTAGGGTTTAGGGTTTAGTGGTAGCAGCTGAGCTTATACGGTAGACAGGTCGCTGGTGAACAGGGTGCCCTGTAGCTTCTAGGGTTTAGGGTTTAGGGTTTAGGGTTTAGGGTTTGTGTTTACAGGGCATTGGAGGTGTTAAGCGAAGGACTGTATGCTGCTCCTGTCTTCATTAGCTGCTGCATGCAACTCGGTATATTATGCTGCTGCCCTTTTGCTGCTGCTGCTGCTGCTGCTATTATTATTATTATTATTATTATTATTATTATTATTATTATTATTATTATTATTATTATATTCCTGCTGTTGTTGCTGCTGCTGCTGCTGCTGCTGCTGCTGCTGTGTTTGTGCAGGGAAGACAGCAGATTTAATTGGTTTGCTGCAGCGTCTGCGGCAGCAACCGGGCTATCAAGACTTGCGCTTCTATGCGGTAATTGCTGCTGCTGCTTCTGCTGCTGTTGCTGCTGCTGCTGCTGCTGTTGCTGCTGCTGCTGCTGTTGCTGCTGCTGCTGCTGTTACTTTTAAGGTTTACGTGTGTCTGTGTTTTCTTGTTAATAAAGGAAGGAGTTTTCTTAATGATGAGATCACAATACGTAGAGGCTATCGCTGCCTTCAGGTAATTAGGGTTTAGGGTTTAGGGTTTAGGGTTTAGGGTTTAGGGTTTGTGGTGTGGGCATGAAGCTATTCTATTTCATAAGGCTAGATTGACTGCTGCCTTCGGCAGTTTGCCCTGATTGCCCCTGACCGTCTAGGGTTTAGGGTTTAGGGTTTAGGGTTTGGAATTTAGGGTTTAGGGTTTAGGGTTTAGGGTTTATGTGCAGGCGAAGTATATCTTGTGGTGGCGGCGCTCTTTCTTCTATTAGTTGGCGATTTAGTCATATTTGTCTTGGCCATTGTCTTAGTGCTGTAGCGCAGCAGCAGCAACAGCAACAGCAGCAGCAGCAGCAAGCTGCTGCTGCATATCAAGAAGCATCTAGAGTTATGCCAGGGTATGCTTCCCTAATAAATAAATAAATAAATAAATAAAATAAACAAACAAATAAATAAATAAAATAAATAAGTTAATTAACTAATTACTAATAATAAGGGTTTAGATAGACAAGAGGCTAAGTAAATTAGGAAACAAAAGAGCTCATGTTGCTGCTGCTGTTGCTGCTGCTGTTGCTGCTGCTGCTGCTGTTGCTGCTGCTGCTGCTGTTGTTGCTGCTGCAGGGATCCTTTGCCTTTAATATTATATGCATTAGAGAGAGATCCTCGTGCTCTTTCCTCAAGCTCATTGGAGTGTCTACACAACGCACAGTTAGTCCACTGCTGCTGTTCCTGCTGCTGCTCCTGCTGTTGCTGCTGCTGCTGCTGCAGCTATAGTTGTTGGTCTTTCCCAGTTGCCGTCTCCTCCCCACATTTTCTGCTTAGTGGTGCAGCGGCGCCTGCTTTAATGCCGTTTGTTATGCTTGCTGCTGTGTTGCTGCTTCTGTGCTGCTGCTGTGCTGCTGCTGCTGCTGCTGTACTGCTGCTGCTGCTGCTGTTGAACATTGATTCAGTGAATTGAGGCCGCGAGACCCTCGAGCTTGTTATGAATTATCCATAGCATTGCTAAACGCCAACAGGTCTGTTGCTGCTGCTGCTGCTGTTGCCTGTAGTCTTGTTGTTGCTGCTGCTGCCAATCGTTTTGCTGCTGCTGCTGCCTAGCAGCAACAGCAGAAACTACGGAGGTGTGATGCTTGTCCTGCTTCTGCTGCTGTTGCTGCTGCAGAGTAGAGGAGGCGCTGCCTCTTGCGCAAGCAGCAGCAGCTGCTGCTGCTGATACTGAGTTTGCTTTTGCTCGTTATTTGGTGTACATACACCTCGCTAGATGCCTGCTAAGGAAGGCAGTCTTATCTTCTACTAAGTCAGCTGCTTGCTGCTGTTGCTGTTGCTGCTGCTGCTGCTGCTGTTGTTGTAGCAGCTGTGGGCTATGGCAGACGCTAGCGTTGCTAAATGGAGTGCTGTTGCTGCTGTTGCTGTTGCTGCTGCTGCTGCAGTGATCAGGAGTATGTGGATCTGCTGCTGGAGGCCTACGACGTGCTGCAGCAGCACGTAGAAGCAGCAACTTGCCGCTGCAGCGACAACAGCAGCAGCAGCTGCTGCAACGGCTGCTGCAGTGAAGCCCATAAGTGTAAGTGGTGCCGAGCAGCAAATAATAGACGCAGCAGCAGCAGCAGCCGCAGCAGCATGCACATGCCTACACCCATACCCTCAATTTATTTCTTGCTCCTTTTGCTGCTGTGCTTCTGTTGCTGCTGCTGCTGCTGTGTTGGGTGTCTGTACACCGCAGTGCTGCACGCCTGTCGCATCCTCATGGGGGCCCCCGACGATTTGTCTTCTCCGCAGTCGGAGATGTCTCAAGATGCTGCAGCAGAAGCAGCAGCAGAAGCAGCAGCAGAAGCAGCAGCAGAAGCAGCAGCAGAAGCAGCAGAAGCAGCAGCAGCAAGACAGCCCTTCCCAGAAGCAATGCTACAAGACTGCAAGTAGCAACAGCTGCTGCTGCTGCTGCTGATTTGCTGCAGACTGAACTGCTGCTGTTTTTTCTTTTGTATCTATGCACGCAGTCGTGAAGGGTTTCTCCAGCTAGGGTTTAGGGTTTAGGGTTTAGGGTTTAGTAGGGTTTAGGGTTTGTGCGCCCTTAGTCATATATAAAGCAAATTGCTGCCTAATAATAAGAGGTATAGTTGTACATACACTGCAGTAAATGCTCCACAGTTGCTGCAGCAAGACCTTTTATTGCTGCTGCTGCTGCTGCTGCTGTTTGCTGCTCGTGTAGCGGTGGGCGCCAGCAACCACTGCAGCAGCAGCAGCAGCAGCATAGACAAAGAAAAGCAAAAAGAAAATCTTAGGCGCCCCAACGCATCTACGCCACTGCAGCATCTGCAGCAGCCAGTGCTGCTGCTGCTGCTGCAGCTATTCTGCGGTGCTGCTACTACTGCAGTCGCGCACACGCACACATTCAAACTGCAGCAGCAGCAGCAGCGGCAATTGCTGCTGCTGCTGCTGCTGTTGCCATTGCGATAGAACAGACGGAGAGCTGCTGCTGTTGAATACACAAACGACAAATCAACAGTACCTGATGCTGCTGCTGTTGCTGCTGCTGCTGCTGCTGGTTGCGTTGAACCAGCAGCTGTACGTCTCCCTGCTGCAGCAGCGGTATCAGCTTTTGCTGCAGCAGCAGCAGCAGGTGCAGCAAATGATGAGTGAT